AAAGAAAGAAAGAAAGAAAGAAAGAAAGAAAGAAAGAAAGAAAGAAAAGTAAAAGGTATTATAGAAATTTGGCATGAGAAAAAAATAGGCACATGAGAAAGTGATTAATGACATAAGATTCCTGGGGAGTAGCAGAAGTGACAAATGAGACCAGTTTCAGCTAAGGGCATCAAGAATGCTTCCTGAAATCATTATTTAGCAGGCCATGGAGAAAGCCTGAGAAAGGGCACGAGAGAGAATCATCACAGGAATGGGTGTGTGATTCAATGGGAGGCAGGACCCCTTGGGAAACAGCCCACCACTTTCATAGGTGACCTTGAGCCTTGAGATGAGGTGTAACATCTCCTGGTGTGAAGTGGCGTAAAGGGTGGCATCTTCATTCTTAGCCCTCAAATTTTCCCTGGCTCCACAGTTTTGTCCCCTAAAAGTGTCTCCTGGCTGCTTACTACAATGCCTGTGGAGAGCCCCGGCTGTGTGACGCCAGTCAGCCGTGTTTCAACACCAGGCTGGAATTAATAGCTGAACTTTAACTTCCATTCCTTCCTTGCTCTTCTCTTTAAAACATCCTGCTTTACTTAAGAAAATAGTTTTTGTTGTTTTCATGAGAAAATTGTTCATTGTCAGGTCATGTGAAAGATGAAGAGAATAGTTGTTAGGAAGACAGGACTATGATTTTGAGCCTAAAAGTCAAATGCTACTTAACCTGTGTTCTGTTTGACCTCTGCTGATATTGCCATATCACATTACATTATGTTGAGAAGTTGCTGGAGAATGTTTTTACTGGAACAAAAGGCTCTGTTCAGAGTTGGGTTTCTGGTTAAAAACTATAAAGAGGGAAATAATTGATCTGAAGGTTGTATTCTCCCCCTTCACGGTCCTAGGCGGTCACTGAGTGTCTTCTCTGTACTATGTATGCTGGGTCACGGGCAGCCCCTGTGCATAGTGCAGTCTTGGGAGTGCTGGGATTTGGGTGAAGTTCTTTCACCTTAGTATTTGAACTTGGAAATTAAAGGTTATGAATTTTGGTGAAAACTGTAAACCCCACTTCTCTCCCCCCCTTTTGTATTTTTCCTGATAGCTGGCTATAAGCCAGCCTCCTCCTCTTCTCCCTTTCCTCCTCTCCACTGCCACCTCCTGTTTACTCCTCCTCCTCCTCTGCTTCCTTCCTTCTTCCGTTGTTATTCCTTCTTTCTCCTTCTGTGCCCGTGTCTGTGGTAGGGGTAATCTTTTATTTTATATTTTCTATTACAGTTCAAATTTCAAATATGTTACCTCCCATTTTCATATTAAATTGTGCAAGAAATGCAAATAATTTAAAAGCAAGCAACACTTTTGAAATATTTTTTGTATTCTCTGGGTAATATAGACAGCAACTACTCACATGACATCATTCATACACCCCCTCCCACTTAAACATGGGTGAGGAAACAGGTACAACACGAGGTTAAATGACTCGAAGTGCCTTTTGGTCAGATTTTGTAGATTCAAAAGATATGGTTCTCAAAATTAGCCATCATCTCTCTTCCATTCCTCAAATATACATGATTTCTTTCTGAAAACTTTGCCATGTCTGTTTCGCACTAATGGTTAGAAACAGTCATGGTCACATGTCCATCGAATGCTCCTTTGGCCTGTCTCCTATGTAGAAGCTTAGTATATAATCATCGATTAGCTTATTAGCTTAGAGAAGCATGAGCAGATAAGAACAGAAAAACAGCTATAAGAAACTGGAAAGATTTGGAAAACTTCTCATAATTATTATAAATAACATTAAGTAAAATAGTGCATATTTTATGGTATTAACTATGTGAAAAAGCACTATCATACTGATACAGTAAGGACATACAACAGTTGACATTAATTCCTTCTGAATGGTGGAGTTAAATTTTTTTTACTAGGCTAGGAATATAACTTAGTAGAAGAAGACTTGCCTAACACATACAAGGCCCAAGGTTTGAACCTCATAAAAGGAAGGAAGGAAGGAAGGAAGGAAGGAAGGAAGAGAGAGAGAGAGAGAGAGAGAGAGAAAGAAAGAGATTTTTAAATAGACTTTTTAATGTTTTTATTCTATACACCTATAATCAGTTTGTGTTAACCTTAGAGACAAAACCATAATATTTTAAAATAGAGCATCCCTTTAGAGAGTCTTCCAGGGTGAAAACTGGCTAATGGAAGGGTAGTCCTAAGGCATCTGAGGTTTTATTAGGGGCTGAGTTGCTTGAATTGAATTGTGAATGAGACTTTGTTGCTGCTCTTGAATGGTGTGTAAGCAGTGGCATATATTTCAAGATGCTTTTGAGTAGGGAAACAAAAGTTTCTTTCCTGAGTTTAGTTCCATGGAATCTTGGACTTTGGAGGAAAGTGGTCCCAGGAAAGATTATTTACGACATTAAAACTGAATTTTTCCTTGGTTAATAATTTGTACACCCTTTATGTAGGGCATCGATTTAGGTTAACCTAGACCAGGAAGGAGATAAAGGTTAAAATCAGAACTGGAAATCTCAGTGCTTTCTCTGCCCAAGTCAAACCAGAAGGCTGAGCCTGCTGTTCTGATAGAGCAGTGGTTGTCAACCTTCCTAATGCTGAGACCCTTTAATACAGTTCCTCATGTTGTGGTGACCCCCAACTATAAAATTATTTTCATTGTTACTTCATAACTGTAAGTTTGCTGCTGTTATGTGTTTTATGATGTTTTACTCTTCACTCTTTAAACTTTTGGGGGGGGGCACCACCCAGCTCCTAAATAAATTACACACAGACATTTATTCTTAGTTATGAATGCCTGGCCTTAGCTTGGCTAATTTCTTGCAAGCTTTTCTTAAATTATCCTGACTACCTTTTACCTCTGGGTCTTTTCCTTTTTTTACTTCTATATATCTTATTTTCACTCTTTCTCCGTGGCTGACTGGGTGGTTGGGTGACTGACCCCTGATGTCCTCCTTTCCTTGTTCTCCCTTGCCCCACCCTCCTTCTACATTTCTCCTTCTATTTATACTCTGCCTGCCAGCCCCGCCTATCCTTGTTCCTGCCCCACTATTGACCATTCAGCTCACCAGGTGTTTTAGACAGACAAAGAATCACAGCTTCACAGAGTTAAACAAATGCAGCATAAACGAAGCAACACACCTTAAAATAATATCCTACAACAGTTTGAATTGTAATGTAAACATCTGTATTTTCCGATGGTCTTAGGTGACCCCTGAAAAAGGGTTGCTTGACTTCTGAAGGGGTCACGACCCACAAGTTGAGGGACCCCCAGGATGCCCCTGTGGTAGGCTGCTGCACTGGGCTAGCTCTTCTGAAGGAGCAGCTCCTAATTGCCCGAGAGTCCTTGCTGCTGGAAGGCTGATGTTTTTATGGCTGTGTGTGATGCCTCTTGATAAGTTATTTGATAGAGGATCTGGGGCAGCAAGACTGAACTTTCTGAAGAGTCAAGTCCTTAGGCCATGCCGTTGTGCCATTGGGTCTGTTCTCCTATCCTTTCTTATTTTATGTTTTTCTCGTGTGTGTGCGTGTTCGCATATGTGCAGGCATGACAGCATGAGGTGTGCATGCATGTATATGGAGGCCCCAGGTTGACATTGAGAATCTTTCTCCATTGCTTTCTATCTTACTTATTGACAAAGGACTTCTCAGCTGAGTCCAGAGACTG